ACAACCGTTTTACGTAAAATATTGCGGCTGTCTATGGTAGCTCTGCAGGTTACCTATATTACCGCCAGCCATATAATAGTACACTGTGTAAAATGATGACAGACAGAGTTTCCACAGAAGGAATCCATTCATTGTATATGTTGCGCATATACAATTGATTCAGCTGGCGTACAGCTGCTGATCGCGAGTCATTTTACCCACACAGATATAGTGATATATACGAATTTCGGCAGAAGCACTCCCTAGTTCTTAGTTTATTCAGGTGCGACGTACGTCACGATTCCACTGAAGTTCGGCTAATACTAACATGAGATAGAGCTCGTTCGAAAAGATTTACAAATGTAGACATGATGCTATAGGTACGTATCGCACGTGGTTCAGTGATGTGAGGGCCTACCCAAAGGCATTCGCCATTAGCAACATCTTCTGATCATGGTCCTTCAGCATTCAATTTACTACGGCTAACTAACAGATTAACATCGACAGTCCGACTCCGCTGTCCACAATATGGCAGTCGTGTACTCATTTCGGTAAACAATCACAAGTGATCTATGAATAGAGATCTAATTTTTGACTAAACAAACAAAAATGGAAATATCATTATACATTGCAATAGATCTTTTTCAAGCTCGTACAATAGCGGTACAGTTAGCAATAGTAATTATAATAATAATAATGCGGTCTGCATTGACATAGCATTTGTTTAACGACGTCGTTTATGGATGCGGCAAATGCAGCTTAAAGAAGAACCACCCCAATGTCGTTTATCAACAATTGCTCCACTGAGCGAACGCGGAGCAATACCTTTTACTAAGATCTGCGAATGGATCAAGCTGTTTTTCTTACTTCAGACTGTAAACAAGTGTTTGGCGTTAACCTGTACAGAGAGAAATGACATTATACGCTGAATGTAAACTGTAAATCGGGTTTCTCTCGCATGGACAAGTGAACTCCACGCAGTAGTAAATGCTACTGACACCTTACGCCACTATTCCTTCTAACTGAAGATCTAGTTGTATTACCATCTGATTGTAAAGGACATACCGTGTTCTATTTTATCCGGGGTTTGAATCGCTCGTGTTATGTTTTGCATTTCGCCGTAACAGATAGCACACGGATTATCTTTGTAGTTCAGATCTGTTTTACATTCATATAATAAATGACAACTATAAACAGTGATGCTGCGCCATCGAACCCACCCCGGCAATCGGGGTACACAAGACTGTACTACCCCTCTACACACGAGGTAATAAGTGGTAGATGTCGGTTTTACTGAAACTGCCCTTGCAGTGGAAATCAGTGTTCGTTCAGGGTTCGACGTTTGTTTCTAGCGGGCATTAGAAGGGCTTGACCACACGGTTGGTGACTACGAACAGATCGACCACAGTTTACATACTACTGGGCCTCGCCTCTACTTTAGCCTTGATCGCTGACATATATTTTATTACAAAAATTACCATACGGGCATAACTCTCAAGTATTACAACAAAAGAGAAACAAGTAAGCTGAGAGTTTGCCTATACAGTTGTCTGTATATTAATACAGATAGGAATTCTCCGCCTCCCGATTCAAATTAACGGTTCACCACAAGCGGTTCTCCATGTTTCTGTTTCAGTTATATAATTTTTTGGTGTACTCGCTGGTTTGGCTTTGGTAATAGTAGGCAAACGTTTCTTCTTCCTTTTAAATGATCGAATTGCATTTTTTTAAGTCACTCTATTAAGAAGAATTGACGATAGCCATTGATCGTCTAAGTTTTTTGAAGCATATATTTGATATACCAAATAAAAGGCACATAATTGTGTATTTTTCAGTAGTTTTAGCTGGCTTGTTGCAGGTCGGTGGGTCTTCGTATTTATCGCGGTCGGCTGCTGTGAAGACGTACTGCCGAAAATGGCAGGTTTCTCGTTGCTTCCCTTTTTTGTGCGACGTCCCGTTGCACGTATGGGCCAATTTTAATGTTGCAACGTTGTGATGCTAATTTTTTTCCAGTGTGCAAGAAGCGTCATATCTAACCATGGAGAAAGCGATAGAAAAGGGCAAACATTTATGCCCCACTGTGTATATACAGACACCTTCAATGTTGGTTTTCAAAATTATCCATTTTCGATATAGAGTGCTTCGAAACTGTCTGTCATTTTAGCCATTGACCTGCATGCCAATGTAACGCCTCAGCTATATTCATCATAGAGTTCCTTATTGATATTCAACGTCGTTACCTGGTTCTCGGACATCTTTCAGATAAAAACAAGCTGATCACTAAGAATTCGTATGATTTATAGAAGCGATCAGCAGATAACAATAAAGCATATAAAATTTTTATGTCACGATTTTATTAGAATAACCTCCAGTTCAAGCATTATATAAATCGCTCAGTTTTTACTATACATAGCTAACCGTTATACCGCATCAGTCAGTACTGCGAGATAAAATCAACAACCTGATACGATTGTCTACCTCTAATGAAGAGAGACTCAATCTGGACAGCATAAACACGAGTCGGTTAGCTATCTACGAGCATATTTATGAATCAACATTATTTAAAATTCGTAGTAAAGCAGTGATATTCGATCTCAATACGCAATAGATACCGATAATACAAACGTTATCTAAGGAATTTACCGTTCAAAAGCCTCAACTAGTAGCTTAATGCTTCCCGACCATTTGGTCCTATTATCACTATAGTCAGAACTGTTTTCAGGCGGAGAGGTCATTTGGTGGCGGTTTAGACCTTCAAAATCGTGTCCTTCTGCAATCATATTTAATAGGTGGTCTATTATTCAGCGTCGTATAATTATCATTCTTAGTGTTTCGAGCCAGACTATGAAACATCGTAGCTACAATAGATCAGATGCCCGATGTTTGTTTTTCTTACCTACGGTACCCTTCAAATAACTCGCGGTGACACGAATTAATCCGCATTTCAAAAACCTCGGTGCTTCAAATACGGTTAGCTGTGCCGGTCATCAGCACAGGGTGAGTTTCATAAACCTCATTTCAGTGGTTCAGGGAGCGGAACGCTGCGCAGTGGGTCTGATGGCCGTAGCGTTGCGATCCAGTAGTTGCGTTCATCAGATTTGTATTGTAACCTTCATTTATCCCTTTTGTGAATCTTCTGGCTGGGAACGTTTCGTTATTTTTTCTGATCATGGCGGTTTATTATTATTTACATGACAAGCAACATGTAAAACGAAGAAAATAAAATTGTTGTCAGTCTTTCATTAAATGCTAACATACTAAATAAGGCATCGTCAACGATGTGTCATTAGCAGAGATTGCAGGTCTAATACCCCATTTTGCTTTATCGATATATATATATACAAACTTTTGAGATAGCTATATAGTTATCTCAAAAGGAAACAGAGGTCTATGGAACAAAAGAAAATTGATGTTCTTTTTAAGCAAGCATAGTGGCAGTCCAGCACACATTATCGCGGCCTAGACCCAACAAATGACAATAGCTTTATGTATTACTAGACTTATCAGCTTTCGTACAAAGCCTTACAGTCGCGCTCGGCTGTATCCTCCGATTTCACTACTTTCGGCCTATCATAATATTGTTATTATTATGTAGCGTGTGTGTAGGATAGGATAGGAACGCTTCGCAATACAAAAGTAAAGCAAAATGGAACATTGGGGTCCATATTGAGTGATGACCTGCAAGTCGGAACAGGCTTCAGGGAGGACGCATCGGATCGGCAATTGCGTCTCCACCATTTTGCATCGTTCATCAGAAATAGGCTACAGGGCACGAAATTGAAACTCTCTTAACAAAAGTTACTGCAGCTGTTAGTATCTAAATGGTAATAAGAAAATTACTGGTGTTGGCTAAATTGCCTAACCGCTACGATGAATACCGTTTACACCTGCATAAATCGTTTCCTGGATTTTCAACCCAACTTTAATCGATGTTATAGTAGGCTCCCGAAAAAACGCGTAACAGTCGCATCTTTTATTTAGAATTACGTTTTGTCCAATTCTTGGAAGGCTGATACCTCATCCAGCGATGCGCTTGTTTATAACTGGATTCAGTTACTCGTAAAGATTGAATGACACTAATACAGTTGGGTGTCACAAAATCGTCAATATACTTGTCTTTGATCGCGTAGAACAGGTTATAAATCTGCTATAATTTTTTAAAGTCTATTTAAGTATGATAATAAAAAAGCCCTGGAGATTTTCTGATGTATTGCGGCACGTTTCTGATATAAATATAGTGAAAATAAATCGGGATTGTCAAGCGGAAGTTTCAGCGTCATATGCTTTTTGTTTACATTAATCTCACAGCACTATTACTGTTACTATTCGTCGAAAATTTTTGTCCCTGATCAAGTTCTTTTGTAATCATATTGAAGGCTATGGATATAATTAGCTTGCGCACTGTGATTTGCACGCCTAGTATTTTAATTTCAAAACTGAATTTGTTTTTAATTGACTAAACACTCGAAACAAACACCGCAAGTAGTATTTTTTCCTTTATAGAAGTTCCATATTTTTCCACAGAAACCTCCATATATATATATATACACATAAATATTTAAATGCATACGACGTTTACTCCTCCCAAATACCGTCATTATCGGTCTTTACTGCGCCCTCGTCCTCAGCCCGTGTCGTGGCACTTCGACTGAGATCAGACTACAGCAGGTCTTGATGGCAAGATGTTTCTACTCTCAAATTTGCACCGTTGACAGTCGTTTACGATCCCTCTACCACTACTTTTCGATTAGCGCAAACTGGGAAATTCTATTAGATTCCGACCACGGGAAAAATCGAATAATTAGAGGAAGAGGGGGGAAAAAAGTTTAAGTGCATTCTTATTTTGTGCGTGACTTCAGCTGTACCTGTAGTGTGTTCCGTCTCCGATGGAAAGACGCGGGAGAAAGGGGGCAGGGGGGCACCTGAATGATGCCCCACTGGTTTGTTCCTCTCGCCAGCAATGCCCTCTCCTTTTTTGCCCCTTGCGCTTCGCCGGAGAAGTGACGTGATCCGCGCGCTTTTAGCGTGCTACTACCGCGTGGATGTAGCTGCAACTGGCTTGCCACGCAGAAGCACAATGCGCGCCTTGCTGGTAGGTGGACCCTCCGGAACAGTACAAGAAGTTTTCGCGCTCTCATATAGACAAATGCGGGGAGTAACAATACGATCAGCTCAATTGTACACCTTTTCGATATACATGTGCCTTGTTCATTCAACCCCTGTACAGTGTGTATGGTGATAGTTCCCATTTGCTTAGCCTAAGGAGTGATGCCTATTTTTAGCGTACGAGGTAGAGTTTATTTGTCGAGAGGCGTTTCCAACGGCTTTTTGTGTCTGCGTCGATAACGTCGAGATTGGCTGCGCTATTGTTAATCGTTTTATTTGGGTGTGTTCAACAAAAGTTTACAAATGAAGTTAAATGTGGTGTCTTTACCGTTAAAGTTGATCACGATGGCGGTGGATATCCTAACATAACGATTTACCCGGTCTGTTCAATCGTGTTTTACAGTGCCCCTGAAGGATTGCTTTCAAATAATCAGTGGTAGTTCCTGTTTTCGACATCTATGTCGAACCTCGGATACCATTATCGATCATGTGTGTTTCATATAGAGTAGACAAAATTGAGCACGGCCTTCTTTGTTAGCAGCAGCGATTCTCACGCTATTTTCACTCTACCATCCGAAGACTGCGTTGATGTTAGTCAAAGCACCTATAAATTGATTGGCGTAGCAAAATCGTTTTTTAAAATATTACTTCATGGTTCTATGAGAATAACGTGCAATAGTGATCGCGTCTGTATCGAGAAGTCTTCTCCACTCTAATTAAAGTGTATCTATTTACTAGTTATCATCGTTGCCACTTGAGCCATTTTCCGACCAAACTTGTTCAGAATTAGAGAGTCATAGATAGGACTACTCTCTTGGGTTTTACACGTTTTTTTTTCCTTACTTCTTTATGTGTTAGCGGAAAAGTCTTTCTCTAAAATACGACAAGAATAGTCGAGTATTGATAAATGCCATTGCTTCATCCGAACAGGTAAATAAATAAAAAAATATACCAATAATTTTCGACCACCCTCAACTGTAATGCACGAATCTCCAGCCGTTTGAACCACCAAGTGTTAGACCTTGTCTGATTGCTAAAACTAGCAGACGAAAGTCACTGCAGTATCGTTTCTGTCGTTCTAAAAACTAACTATATTATGCATTCATACTCTGCTTTAAGGTTCGTTCGGTATATAAAATGACGATAGATTACATTTTTATAGCCCTAGTTGACTTGTGTGTGAATGTATGCCGCTGTTGTCATGGTTGAATATATGTGACATACGTGACTGAACATTGCAATATTTTTTTTTCTTTCTTTAATAAGTTTTTTTTTTTATTTCTAATCTGTTTCGATCAATCAAAACGATGCTTCGAATTTTATATCTAAATGATCAACCATTACACTGAAATGCAGGAACCACAACGCCCCCAAGTGATAGGGTAAGCGCCCCTTAATCTCCATGTATTCTGACTCGAATTTCATTTTCTCTATTCTCTCTATTCTGATTTCCACAGCTGAATTGTTCTGAGTAAGTTTTGCTATTACCACGCGGTTAGTTCTGGCGTCTATACATCAAATATGAACAATTTCAAAAAAACACCAAGTCAAATGCATCTCGTATTTACGTTCCCTGTCCTTCGCTGATCCGAAGTCCATTCAGGTTAACCCTATGATGCCCATTGCCGGAAGAACGACAGGTACTTTGCCATCCGCCATGGTTCAGCAGCGAGAAGCACTTCGGCCGTATATTTAGATTTAGCTTATATGTTAATGACCGTCCATGCTTTCGTCGAACTTTCTAGTATCGCGATAAGAGCTTTATGTCGGCATTTTTTTCGGTTTTGTATTCACCGTTTCTAATCGGCGGAGGGAGCATTGGCCAAGCGCGTCGTCGTCGTCTATATATAGAAAAGAAGCATACTTTTCAACAAATGAGTGTAGGACGAGCGACACCGATTCACCTCTATCAAAGCTCCTAACGCTAGCTAGATTGAGCTTCTACAAAGACCTTTGCCATTTAGAGTCTCTTGGTTGTGATGAGTCCTAGGATGCTCAGAAGTTTTATCGCGACAATGGATACCTGTAGTCACAGTTTCGTAACATCTATTCCAAAAAGGCTCGAGATGCTTTGAACAACTACCGAGTAAACTTGTTTGTCGAAACAACCTGAAACATAACGAGAAATCACGATCAGTTCTACCTCCTGCGAGTAGTTGCTATTCAATGGACCCCTTGTGAACGGTACTGATGCCTGAGAAGTTTGCCATAAGCTACACACACCTAAAAGCTATGTGTCGAATCTTACGTCCGGTACCGCCGTTAGATACTTTATCAGGCTGCCAGCCCCAAGCACGAAACGAACCGTGTACCCATGCTCGGATTCAAGTCCAGCCCATCACGTGATTGTCTGAAGGCGAGCACGGTACTTACAACGCCACTACGGGGATTCAATCTTATGCATACTTCCTGCACAATAGAAGTAAATGAATAAAGCAGGAGAACTTCAAAGTATTAATTAGAAGGGTTTACAAAATATGAAAAAGTTTTCTACTTGTAAAACATTAGGTATGTATAGAGCCTAAAAGCTCGGACGAAATGTTTAGGTTTGTTCAGTCCTAAAAATCGTTCGAGCGAAAGCTGCCAGCTAGCATAGTACGTTCTTTATATCCAAGCATAATATTTATCCTTCAAAGCTATTCAGTACATAAGAAAAAGCTGGTATAGCAGCTTTTCGGTATCTGTGTTAGCATATTTTTGAAGCAGAAAAATTTTTTTGTACCTAACTTCTAATAGTCTTAGTATAACGTGCCGTTCTAATCTTTTTTATGCTCTAATGACTGTTATCGTATACGAACTGTTTCGCTGTTCATTAATAAGCGTCAATTTGCCCATAGAGAAATCGTAATAATACCAAAATAAAAATAAAATGTCGTCCTTTATCCCACGCCTGCAGACGGTGCCCTTACTGGCGGTTTTGGCTACGGCCACCCCGCCAAAAGCGTCGCATGCTTCTTTCTGGGAGCCTAGCAGCCAGGATCTCAATCGGTATCAGGGCCCAACGAGATGGCCAATCGTCTTCGCTAAGAAGTCCTTCTTCAACTCTGACCTCTCAGTGCAACCCTCAGTGCTTTATCGACTCGTCACACTGCCGACCTTCGCTACTTCAATATTTAACAACAGTCCAGACTATGGAAATCTGCACCCCGTTAACAAAAACAACTACAACGACAATTACGAGAATGATAAAGGTAACAACATCCACTATGACGATAACGGCATCGATACGGAACGGCCCCTGAACTATTTCAAGGGCGACAGCCGGCTGTATGCGAAGAAGCCGTTCGGAAACTTTGGTCTGAGTTCGTCCGTAGGACCGAAGTCTGTTAACGGCTATCAACGACGCGCGTCCTTTCTACAAGGCGGTTACTATCGGCCCTGGGATGCGCCAAAAGCTTTTGACAGCTATGAGAGCATTCCCACATCGGTAGCAACTCACGATGCCTCCTATAAGCCTTCTTCATTTGCCAAAAATCAGCCCCACTAAAGCAGTTAGTAATTGTGATCTGGCTTACCTGTGGTTGTGTTGATCATTGCAGACCTTGAAATACAAACGGTCAGTTCGAAGACATTAATCTGATCTAACGTAATTGTTCATTCACAACTATCTTTTTGACAGTTTTTCGTTTTATGATTTGCGATCTTCAGCAAACAGGAAGGGAAATCGGGTGAGGTAATTTTTCCGGTTTCTTCAAATTGTCGATTTCTTTAATAGCACCTATTTGAATGTGATGTTCCTGTTTATATTATAGACAATTGCTGAGGTAGAAACGTGTACAAGCTATCTGAACGGTAACATACGATGAGACTGGTGCAAACGAACGACCATAATCAACCTATTTTTATTATTTGCTTTATTCTAATTTGGCCTGTTAACTTCCGTGAAGTTGATGTTTCCATTGCAATGCTGACGCATTAATTATAATGACGATGACCATTTTTAATAGTAACTAATAAATGGCGAAGATTGCTTTTTGCCTGACTCTAAGTGAGGTAGCTTATGAAGATATGTATAGATACATGCGGCAGCGAATTCTGATGCCATCAAAGACCAAACTGGACTGCTCGAATATTAGCAAAGTCCATTCTGAAATGCCTATGGTAAACAATGACCTCGTCGAGCTCTTTTTTAAGTTATTATTGTTATTATAACTATACTGATATGATTATCAACTGCCTGAGTTTTGAATACATGTTGGCAAAAAGAGACTATAAACACATGCAGCCGTAATAAAGTATCACTGTATACCTAAAGGAACATTAAAACGTTGTTTATTATTTAATATTATTACTTATAGAACAGCAAAAAAAATAAAACGGGGTTGTTCTTTTTGAACCTAGTTGAAACAACCCATTCTACTCGAAGCAGACATGTTGCCATTATCTGATTTCTATCCATTTTAAATCTAGACGCGATTTTTGTAGAAGGGGAAAAACGGAATCTGAAAGCCTATTTTTAGTTCAAATCATAAAAATAAAGTATCCAAATTTGTCGTGATGGAAGTTATACAAATGATATGATTTTTTTTTATTCATTTAATTGGCCCACCAGTGAAATTAAGAAACCGAAAAATTGTGTAACAATTAAAGTACGTGCCTCTAACAGTCCGGTGAAGAAAGCCCTGATCTGTTTCATATGTATAGACGATATAGCTCAATACCGACGATTATCAGTTATCGTCGCACATGCCCCCATTAGACAGAACTGTATTCTAACTCAGTGATTGATGAAGTAATTTATCTTTGGCGCTATTAAGAATTGACTGCAAAATAGGCCTCATAGATCCAGATCACAGCATGACAAATGTTTTAGTATTGCTTTACGGAATTTCTGAACACTAGGCTACAACAGGTCAGCAAAGGAACATCGCCTTTTCAGACAGACAGATGAAAATTGACTTTATTCAAGGGCGAGATGTCGCCTTTGGTCTACCAATAAACCGCAAAGGTTAATACGGATTAAATAGCGGAAGAACATTTAGGCTATGTTTTGATGTGGAAGCATTTAAGCTGTAATTTTTTCAATGAATGACAGTTCGCTATCATTTAGTAGAGGAACTTGGTAATATAACTACAATTTCAATTTCTGATAATCGAGATAAGAAAGACAAACGATAGATGACAAACACAATGTCTCGTGCAAGCTATTGCTCCATATCGGTATGTCTGTGTGTCGATGTCAAAAAATAGCACGTGGGGGCCCTTGAATTGTCATTAACCTATAGGTTTAATGTCTCATATCTGTATACATTTTTTGTGTGTTCGATCAGACATGGCTGCAGAAAAATTCGTTGTATTTGTAGGGCTTGAGGCCATTTCAAAGGTTTTGTCCTGAACCATTGTTTTGAGAGCTACCCGATCTGACCTCCCAGGCTCAAGCGAAACCTGCGAAACAACTAACTTCAACTAGGTGTTGACAGCTAAGTGGCAGTGTGAACTCAGAGTGAGGTGATACAGGTCTAGGATTTGACACGTACGGACGGTCAGTTTTATACCAAACGTGGCCATAAGCCGTCTGAGATAGTGGCTATGGCAGCAGAACCGAACTCGAAATGTTTATTTGGTTCAAATATCGAAAACTGGCAATTACGAGAAAGTTCTTCGTTTAAATAATAACTGGAGAAACAACGTACGACTCACCCTCCTACAACGAGATTGGGGATATTTATGAATTTAAAGAACATACAGCTTCAAGGAAGGACAGGAAACGATTTTTAAATATGAATAGTAATTCGGTAGCAGAATAGGCTCTATTAAAGTTAAATCATTTATCATATAGCGCATCGCCTGTGCCAAAATCAAGGTGATAATTTATGTTAACACTAAAATACAGTTGTTCGACACCCCGCTCGTAAGCCAAGCTGAATAGCATTTGATTAACTAGATTAAGCCAACCCTTGTTTTTATCAAGAGGGTCATTTAATGTCGAAAATACATTTGTCATTATAGACTTTTGTTCCTTTTCCTCACGGCTGGTCCTGCTTCAAATTATTGTCAGCGTTGTCGCAAGCTTTCTTAGCAGGCCTATCTGCTTTTGAATTGCGTAAGGGCATCTGTAGAACCGGCTGAAGCCAACTGTAATTAATGGCCCGACGTGCACCTCACTATGACCAAGTCGTCAGATTTCGATTTGAATTATTTTTTATAATAAGATTTGTAATAGTGAACGAGGGGCATGTTAAGGGCAAAAAAATTACTACTGAATGATTGCATAATTGTGATTTTTGAATTCTGGACGGATTCATCCATTTGTTACCTCACAGATTCATCGTACGGGCTGAAATGGTGCCGGCGTGTAAACTGTCTCTTGAAGCCGTATGTCACGGTGCTTGCTGAAGGGACTCGTTGAAGGTCGCAGTGGAACAAACACACACTTAGGCGCACTAAGTGTGACCACTATATGGAAACTATATCATCGGGACGGAATGTTACTACTATGAAAATGTAACAGGTAGTATAATGCCTAGTGCTGATCAATCGGACAAAGATACGTAAGACTGTAAAAATGATGGAAGGCATACCAGCATCAAAATTGAGCGTAATAGAGATACGTTCAACGAAATACATGTATGCCAGGTTTCGTAGTCGATTAACAAGGAAGTAAACGGCGTTAATCATTAATTACTCTTGCCGACGCGGCAATTGTGTATTAGACTACTCACTCCCTCATTTTTAGACGGATCGCAACACCCTACATCATATCTGTTCAGAAAAAAAAAAAAACGAAAATCGATCATTTTTTTGTGTGCGGCACGATTCTTTTGAACTAGTAAATTGACGCCTATGGTGGAATATTCATGTGGTCTTCAATTTACTGCCAGCTGCTAGCGAGCTATGCACGCCGTCAACTAGCTTAGCTTCAATAGAAATAAGACGGAAAGCTAGTCAAATGCTCGTTTGCAAGGAATACTTTCCCATGCCGAATGTTGCTCGTTAGCAAAAGGTAGGCTAAAATATATGCCCAGTGATTCCGAGTCAGCCAACCTGTTCATTGATAATCCAGGCAGCTCATAACTAATACCCTTATGAGACGCCTCCAACGGTAACAAGCTTGCTTGTCACGGTTGGAGGCGTTTTTTCCCTATCGAGTTTTTTGTGCTATCGAAAATGTGTAGGTGACAAGTTATCAAATTGTCAACAACGAGATCAGTGTGCCGCAACGTATTACATATGACGCCAGACTAGCCGACTGACACTTGCGAAAGGCTGAGCGGCACACTGATACCTCATGACCGTACCAGTGGCTTCTTTTTGCGATGAGGCACGTCACTGCTCTGTTTGGCGACAGAAGGCTTTGTTGCTCGTGCAGCTGCAGATGCTGTTGTAGCCACTGCTAGTGAACCTCCAGTCAACGGACGGCAGATGCTGTGCGGCTGGTGGTACAAAGGCGACTTTAACGCGCGGAAGCGCCGATCACGGCAACAACGGTGGTACGTGAAAAAAATTGACACAAATTATTCGTTTACGATGAAAACAAAAGTAAGCTTCAAGCCAGCATGATTCAGCCTCCGGTGAATCACGGTAACAAAGTGAGGCCGAAATAACAAACCTTTATGCTACTATAAAGCTCACACGTGAAGGCCCTAAACCTGTTATTGCGGTAACTATTGTTGTGGTTGACGTTGCCTTCAATGGTGTTGGCAGCGAGATTTAATTTTGAATTATGATGATGAGGTCACAAACACCCTCTTGCGTTATTGTTGGTGCGCCGCAGTTGTTGTAGATGCACTCCTATTTACTCCTCTTGTGCCTAAAGCGGTCTGGCTGATGCTATCCGCTCTATAAGTACTGACAATAGCAATAGGAACAATAATGATGGGTGGCGGACCACGCAGCACCTTCATCTTACGAAGTGCGACTACAAGCACCAGAACGCTGGAGACAGTGTTATCCCTATACTAGAAGAGGCTAAGTAGTGGCTTGCTTAAGGGAGACGATAACTTCAGATGTTAGTAAGTGCTAAGCCGTGCCCCTGGACCGATTAAACAGTGCCTACCGGAAGGCTTACTGTTATTCTGCTGCTATAATTCTAATACAATATTAACTAAATACGAAGCAGAGAACAAAAATGACGCTGTACAAATCATTCTTACTTGCCGTCGTTTTCCGTTATCTCATTTCGACATTTCGAGAAATGACAGAGTAACTAGCAGCAATGGCAAAAGTCAAACGAGCGTTCATCAAGGATTACTCCAGCCTCGATCTTCGTAACTAGACACATCACAAACGCTAGACGGGCATTTGAGAAGCAAGACGTACCGCTGCCGCCGTCTCCATGCCGTCACAACTTCTTACCGGCCACGCACTGAATGGAATTTCTGTCTGTGCCTTCGGCTTCTGCTGCAGCGTCACTATATATGACGCAGTAGTGTAAGGAAAGGTCGATTTGGTGTTCCTAGAAACGGTCGTCTGTCAGATTCATGTTCTTCCGTGCCGAAAGTACTATCGTTGAAATTGGCTACTGAATAGAGATGTGCGTCTTCTTTTTTTTCGGTAAATTCATCATCGTATTGCACTGATAGCGACTGTTTCCTCTTTACCTTTATCAGATTATCATTAATCAGCTAAAACGTTGCTTCATTATTCACACTGCCAAACATGCGGGACTATGGCAGGGTGTCCTTTGGAGTCATGTCGAATTGGCGGTATTTTACATTTGCTACCTTTGCTGTAGAGCTCTACGCAACTTGGTGCGACTCAAGCGTTGTGGGTTAAGCGTCCAGTGGCCAACAGTTATTATTATTGTTGCCAACCCATACAATCTGGCGAACCTTAGCGATGGAGTAGCAGACGGCAAATTAGCGAAGTGTATCATCTCTCACTGGAAAAACAACAACAGTCATTAGTGTGTTATTATGCCGTTAATTGGCACAGTTCTGGCAACTTCGTCCTCCTTGTTATTTCAGCCAACCCGAAATTAAGCTAAACGTATAACATTGATGCAACTATCGTTGTATATGTTGCCTTTTGTCAATTTTTGTGTTGTCGTTGATTCTATTCTAACAGTTGTTATCTGTCATGATTGTGATAGTGCCGTGATAGTGTTCGGGGTCAGAAAGTTGTGAGGCAGATAAGCGCCAATAAGAAAAAGGGAAGATTAAAGTAAAAGCGTTGAATGAAAAAGGTGGCAATATACGTTAAAACGACCATTAGATCCATCATCACGATAGCCGAGCAAAGATATCTAGTAACAGGTTGAGACAATCTGGCCTGTACCGACAGTAAAATGTAGAATAGGGTAGCATACGATGAATGCGACCACACCCTTGCAAAAAGACGCCGCCATCAGCGGGCTTTGGCCTGAATCAATTGGGTAGAATGCCATAAAGATGTTTCTGCTGCTATTGTCGTTGCCGTTACGCGAAATTGATTGGTGCAGTTGTTGTACATCTTTTGCCAAGCAACAAGTTTCACTGTGAAAATACCCTCACTTTACGTGGTATTATTACTTAACAGCAGTATAAGTAAAAGAAAGGCTTGATAAAGTGTTTGATTGAAACATGTACAACAAGCACGATGCTGTTGTCAAGATCGACTTCGCCTTTGTTGGTTCTGTGCTAGCCGACCTTAGCGAATAGCAGCTTAATGCTGGCTATATCCAACATTAACGCTTAAATGAGTACCGAAGGCTAGATCTCTTACCTTTTGTTGTTTTCTTGTAAATAGAACCATCATCTGCGCTACATCTTCCCGGTGAAAATTATCGACGTTTCAACCACTATGGCTTAGTAGCGAGCAGAGGCTGCCTGTAGCCATTAATAATCTTTGAATTAGATGAACAAATCTATTTAACAACTAATAATAACACGTTTGTGTGAATCAAAAAAAAACCTCTCGGCTAGGTACATAGGACTGTTGCACATTTTCTCGCTGCAATACCTAGCCTCCGATTAAACCCCTTGGGTGGAAAGAGTAAAATGTTGACGCTACGAGTTATATGAATGATAATAGCTTTTACGGTTAACTACAAAGTGTCTTCCCGAGCGATCTGTACCTATAATCAATATCGTTTAGTTCTTGCAGTGTCAGATAAATTTACTTGCAATTTTCCACAAATGTAACCGCTACACGGGTTTATGTATGCATATAGAAAGCGGTAGAAACTCTTCGATGCATTGGCTGGTTTCAATAAAAACGTCGTCATAAAATATTGTGATTTTTTCTGGGCTAGTTCTTTTTATTCAAGTTACACTCATAGTTGGATTATTAGTAGAAAAGGGATTGAAAAGCACCAGCGGACTGAAGCGATATATTATGGCATAAATTAATAACGGTAATATGCTGCCTGACGAAAATATAGTAATTGAAATCATATTTGAAAGATTAGGTTCAAAATGTTTTTCTTGAAGCATTATACTAAGTTACATGTTCTTGTATGATGGAATAGCTTAAGTGGAAGTCCTCGACCTTTTATGGTCCTCTAAATTCAGTCAGTATGAACACAGTTTATTTCCGGCTTGGTTATCTTCGTCGATGGCTATCGGATAAATATAAGCAATGGGGCCATCACAAGGTTACGGAACTAACGATATACTTTTGTTAACCACTTAAAATGATATAATAGATATGCGGGGGCCGAAAAATACGTTTAAGAACGTTTGGTATCAATATCAATTACTACTTGCATTGGAAAAAGCCACCTTCTGCGGCAAAATGTAAAAAAATCAAACGGCGAGGCAATATTGCGTCTTAGACTTCAATAGAGTTGCAGTCATGCCCACTTGCAAATGAAGGCTTATCATATCATCGACATTACTCTATAACGTTACGATCTAGACAAAGCGTAGTTTCAGTCGACGTAACGTTTCGCGTACATCTACTAATATCAGAGTAGTAATAATAGTACAAATAACATAAAACAATCAGAAGGATCGTGAAAGCGATGATTATCAAAAATCATTAACAAAAATAATAGTCTAGAGAGAAATTGGCATAACTACAACATCACAAAAGATGGAATAGTTCGTCACAAAGGAAAATAGAGAAAGGTGTAAAAACTCAAAAGCGGTGTCTGTCTGTTCTTCGTAGAGCTTAACTGTTCGCAAAAATATGAGAAAAAAAGCAACGATGACCTTTGCAAGAAGCAGTCTACTGAGAAATTGACTGAAGCCGATCCGCATGGGTGGATCAACGAAGTGCTTGCTACCCCACTTTCCCTGTTCTTCTGATACTCAGCCATTCGATTTTTGGGGACTCAAAATAAGCTAATCGGGCTCCCGGTTATGTTTGCCTTAATCGATAACAGGGCGTATACAAATTTAATCATCGAACAAGCGCAAAAAAGGCCTTATATCACTGTCTTTCTGTATATATTGCCTGTATATTACGTCACGAGGACGCACAACGGCAACAGCAAAGGTACTATTTGACTCTGATAAATTGGCGGTTAGTTGGACGCCACCTCCTAATTATGAAGGTTCATACTTATGAACTTGGAAAGCGAGTTATGTTTTTGTCATATCCTATCTAAAAAGTTTAAAGCAAATCAAATCTATTTGAGAGCTTAAGCAAGAAGTAACATTTCTACTTCTACTATTTCTATGATTTTTTACGCATGGACATCTTCCATTAAAGCTTTCCTTGCTCTTCTAGATAAAAATAGATTTTATTTTCCAGCAAGTAATGCTTAGCAAGATGCACTGTTCTAGCGCTACAATCAATTGCAGATGGTACTATAATTGTTACTGCTGCGGCTGTTGTTGCCTCCACTGCCATTATTGATTTGATCATTTTTCTGTGAGCTAGTAGTCAACCAATCGGAAAACATTTTTCACTGGGGAAAGTGAAGGAGCGCGCGTATAGCATCGCGGTGATCTTAATAATGTATCGTTTATCGGTGAAGCGATCGAGGTATATTGAAACTACACAAACTCTACTTTCTGCTGCAGGCTGACGTTTCTCCAGTGTTAGACAGACAGTTGTTGAGTAAATCTTCACTTTTTCGGTTTCACTTGCCATCACATCTCATTTTATTATGAGAATGATGATAATAATAGCGACAAAGCGGCGGCGGCGACGGCGGCGGCGACGGCGGCGACGGCGGCGGCGACACTGCTCCAAAGCATATCCTTTAGAATGAAGAAAGATCTTGTGTGTTAGATTCTGGTGAAAAATTCTCATTCTGTTCTGTGTTTTTTTCTATTTTCCGCTAGCATTTAAGAGCGTCTCTGTATTACCTTGTATCCAGCTTGCGCGCGGGATATTGTCAGAAATTACATTTCAACTTTGACGCCAAGCCAAAAGCAAGTTAGGACAAACAAAAATCGAAAAGTTAACTTGGTGTTAATTTTGACGTTTTTGGAACAGTTTTAGATGCTTGGTTGCTCATGATGCTTCCAATAATAATAGTAAAAGTAACAGCGTTTAGGGCTTCAAAACGCACATTCGTTATATATCGTGTTTGACCTTCATTATGGGAGACCGCTATTGATTCATGATATATAGACTTCAAACCGCTGACTTAAGTTTTTTGCCGCATTCTTATCTAGGTTCGATATTACCCTTGTCCATCGCTGCTGAATAAAAGGTAGTATAGCAATAATTTTCCAAACATGATCTTTATTCTTACAGAAGGTAAGCTCTTACCTTGCAAAAAATAGCTATATCTAAGCACAATGTAAATTTTTTCTTACTAGTAATAAGCGAAGGACCAGTAGAATAATCTTGCGTTTTTTAAAACCAGCATGTACACAGATTCCCTGGATACGATTTTACTTCGAGGAAGACACACGCTCTGCGCACATTGAAATGAGCCTCAAATGCTTAAAATATGCCGAAAGCAGCATCTTGCGAGCGTTGCTCGTAACAGCGGAGACAGAACAACACGACGTATTTACTTCAAGTGAAGCTCAAAACCCTATAGTGACTTTACCGTTTGCTGGAGACAACAAATGTTGAGAGCCTTCTGAAACAGATCAAGCTCGTCTTAAGCAGTAGAAAAACTAAAGACATAACTGTAACGCGTGGCGTCTCCCAATCCTAAAAACGTTAAAGTGCAGTTTTTGAAGTTGTAATAATATTCGCACGAAATAAGTTACCTAAAAAGATCACGTTACGTAGAAATCTACGTTAATTATATCTATGCCATTTTTGTTTCTAATAGTTCATGGAAGCGACAGTTATCTTGGCCACGGTCCTATAGCACGTACGTTGAACAAAAATTATTTAATCTTTGTTCATTCATCTGTGAATTAGGCTAAAGCAAATAACGGCGTATACGTATCCGTCTTCATCACAGCGGACTGCATTGCGCTTAGTCACAGCACGCGCGGTGAGGAATGGCTGAAGTCTACGTTTATCGTGAGCACCGTCATGGTCATTAGATTCATAGTGACAATATTCGATGGGTGATAGTGCGAAACAGTTTACACCATAGATTCTTGGGGTAGCTTTAAGATTGGGCCATTCAGTAGATTAAAGTTTTCAATGCTTCGAACTGGACGTCGGGAAACGTCCGCTCACTTGTTTACCTGACCGTCCTTCAGGGCTTTTGCCATTACTAATAAGAGAAAAACGTCACTACTACTTTCTTTGTTAAGCATAATTATCATTTTTCTAATAGCGGTCGCCTAAATACCTAGCTTTTCGAGTAAGCTCTTCGTAGAGCAACCTAAATTTTGACCCCTGGTTTGAAAGTCAAGTAGACCAAATGCGAATGATATCCGCATTGCGAAAATGTATAGCGTACGCCTTCTGGGAACAAGGAAACTTCAATCTATTTCTCAAAATTAGTTCACCGATTGATTCTAGCTAGAAACGAATTACTTTCATCGTTCTGGTCGCATTTTAACATTACTATAACATTTACCAGCCTAACAACAAACGTCACGACAAACTGAAACGTCGTATATCTGTGACATGTGCGTCATACCTGGCAATCTGTACCGGCCATTATTGGACGCTGATGTAATTTATTAATACTGTTTATTTAATAAATACTTGACGTCTATATTTAAACTAATGGTACTTATGCCGCATCGAACATCGTACTTCTTATCTGCTACCTTTTACTTGCGCCAAGACAATTTCATCTCGATACTGTCAGGCTTGTATTAAGAACCTTAGCCGCTGTCTATTCCGCTGTCTTCATTTAACCTCTAGGGACACGGTAATAGCTGCCGTTTTTGATGCTAGCAAAATTAGCGTTCCTGCTTGTGTTTTTCCTCAGTAACGTGCAGCAGGACAAACGTCGCACCAGAACATATCTTGTCAATTGGATACTTATGTGTATGTGTGCAGCTGCCTGGTACTGTACTCCTATATGAACACGAGGTGTATATATATACTTCGAGATCCACCCTACCACTTCTTGCAGACGAACAGACATCCAGCCGGTACGGAACGCTTCTTTCCGAGCCCACCGCCGTTATTACCAACCTGGCCGTTGATGCTGCTGTTGCTTTTCTTCGACTATTGGCATATGTGGCTGTGGTATTACTGTTGTTATCGCTAGGCGCTGCTAGATCCTGCTTCTGCGTCGAATCGCTCGACGTCACCGGTGACTCGTGTCGCCGCGTCCTGCACAGGGTCGCCCACGGCCACGATGCTCGTCCGCGGACGCAACTAACACCTATATATATATATATATATATATAGATATCCCAAGACAATTTTATTGTGTACTGTTTTGTCTCAAAAGCGTATTCAGTGATAGTGAAGCTTACGGGCGTATTTGTTGGTTACTGCTGCATCCATCCCTTCGCCCTTCCCTGGCCTGACAAATATTAGCACCTTAGCAATGAGGCTAGCAGTAAAATCTGGTTATCTAGTTTGTTGTATAGGCGGGATAAGCCTACGGGCAATTGACAATAAATAGTGTGCGACTATGGCCCGTAATGCAAAAACGAATGTAGATTCGGTGTCCATCTTTCATATAATGAAAAAATGCCGAAAACGAAAAAAGCCATGAAAGAAATATCGGCTCAGATCAGCGCTGCCTTGAAGTGGACAGTCCACAGGCCGTGAGCTCTTGACAAACACACGCGCACAAACAAACACACACAGATACACAACCGCACACGAGTCCGCCAGGTCACCTTCAAACAGAGCGACAGGTGCAACTAACATAACAATACGTTGTACTTCAGCAGTTGTTCAATGGTAAAGGCTGGACAATTGTTGGTCAATGAACACCAGCCTGTCCGGACTGCCGACTCTTCTGTACTAGACCTATCATAAATAGCGTTGGACCTTCCCCCTCACAAGCACACGGTCTGGTTGACTACAGCAATGGAACTTACAAACAAGCGATAGACGTACGGCAACAACTTTACCAGTCGGCTGGCTTGCCCTAGAAAAAACGGCCGATACCCTGACCCAACAACAGACATAGCAATAAACACGCTTACAATATTGACAACAAGAAGATCTACAACAACAAGACGCTTGACCTACCTAACGGAACTTTCCTGTTAGTCGCCGTGCCCCTTTCTTTTTCCTATGGTACAGACAACGCGGTGGTCAGCGACATCGCAGAGGAATGGGATTCGCTGAAAGCAAGCTCCACAGCCGTGTATTTTGTGTACATAAACATTTGATACAGAGTGCCGACAAAAAACTTTGTGAGTTTTTTTCTATAGTGGTACTGAACTGTTACGTGCTGTCATGTGCCAAACGTTTATCGTCGGCAATTTGTTCGTTTGATTAGACAACTTGCACATTAGATAAAAGGTATTCCGAAATGCGTGTGCATGTATTTGTGTGCTAGTCAAAAATACAACAAGTAGTTCTACTTTATAGCATCATGTAACATGGGAGCAGGTCAGTATTTGTTATCGATCAATGTCAGTGAAGCTTAGTGCCAGATAATTTCATCATTATGATATCTATGTATATAACCGGACTCGAAAAGTGGGCAGTGTCGAAGCATTAGATGCTGCGAGCTCTGGTCAGTCCCAGCTTTACGCGGCCCTGCCACCGATACGAATAGGCCATCCGTCGTTGCACAAGCGGTTCAACCACTGATTAGTGCAACGCATCGGGCGAATCCGGAACAACGGCAGCGTTGACTATCGATACTAGCCAGGGCATAAAAGACAATTGTGTTCGGTGGGTCTAAGTTTCCCACTTTTATCTCGTATCTAACACATGTTTATGGTTCGCTTAATGCTGCCTTGTCCGATACTATGAATCCGAAGTACTATATGTCCGCTGATGTTATGCTGTATGTGCGTGCGTGCGTGTCGTTCATTTTGACGGGAATGAAGGCCAGCCCCGTGAAGCACTTAGTGACAGCCCGCTCGTTCACGCCAAACAGATGGTCAATCTACGAGAACGCACCGCAATACTACAGATATATTAACTTACGTTTACATTCCTTGCCTGACTTACAACGAGCAACATCTAACCTTAGGTATGTGCCATACCCGTCTCCGACTAATCAAGATAATAGTAAGTCAAGTCCAATCGAATTATAGCTTACGAAAGAGCCGCATCCAGGTAGTGCTTCAATATCTTCTGAAAGGCATTGAATTTACCTATGATTGATTGATTTCAGCATAATTTCGAAAAGTCGTCACTAAAGCGATGCCAAATTCTGCTTGACCGTTTGTTTCCGTCAATTGACAGCCAACGAAGAGGAGAAATCAGCAAGCGAAATATCTCAGTGGTAGGTGTCCAAATACAAGTATACCCATTTTCATAAAGAATTGTTTAATATTTCGATGTAGAGGCATTGTTTGGCATTTAACTTAGTGCTAACATTTTAATGAATCATTAACGAATCCGTAGTTTAGAAATTAAGAAATACATTACTGAACTTATACAGACATAGACTTCGTTTATGCACAACTGTTAAACATTTCATCAGAACCACGACAAAGCCATTGTCATCAGCCAGGAATCTGTGTCTCTCGGGCTATATCTATCGAGAATCTATTCCTATACATAACACTATGAATTACATAAATTCATCAAGTTTCCATGAAAATTATCTATACCAATTGGATATCTACTTTGCTAGCGTATGCCTACTCGAAGGCATAATCAATTTGACCGATTTGGAGCCCATTAAAAACACCTGCACACATATAGTGCAGAGTAGCGTCTAAACAACATCTTATTCAGTATGTCTAATATAACATGTACCAAATAAAATGACCACAAATAGATCCAACAGTGCATCAATTAACCTCTCATAAAATTCTTGTCTAAAAAGAATTCATTGCAAAGCTAAAATATTTTAAACGTCTCATAAAGGCGCTTTCGATTACATTACTTCACATCGGAGCCTCACCGATCCCATCCCACGAGATCCTTCCTGTTTAACCGAACGCGTTTGACCATCGGGTACGCCTCGGGTCTTCGTTGTACTTGAGTCATATCATATGTTACAGGCCATAAACATTTCAGTATTTACCTATATTCCTATTATGAGATGCATTGACCTTTTTGCTGTCTTTCACTCTCGTCACTTACTTCATATATATATATATATATATATATACGTCATCTAGTGTTACGCTAATATGCGCACACCTTATATGTACGTACCGTAAAAAAGAAAAGGCTGCGATCAACACCCTGTTGTCTTCGACCCTGCCGGGTCATCATACTGCCGTTCGCAACGTTAGCGATATTATTAGCCGCGCTGGTAACAATTTTCGAATATATATGCAAACTCTAATGCCGAACATTTCCACGCTCGATAGCTGCCTAATCGGTTACGAAGGACAGTAACGTCAGCTGTTCGACATTGTGCGCGGAGTACTTCGAAAGCGCTGCAAAAACCCAAATAACTCAATGGGTTTATTTATTTAACATAAATATGGAGTAACAAAAAAAAAACAGTTTTGATGGTTCGTACTAACCGGTCACCGGTTGTCCACTAAAGCTAGCGCTTTTATAGCGTATAAGTAGCGCGTTCCGCCTAGTGGCTAGTATACACGACTGTGGTTGTATCAGAAAGATCGCGCTCAGAAAAGCTTGTTCTCGTCGTTACTTAGCCCGAATCGCATATGGGTTTCGACATTGACCCCGTCCGAACTCGGAGCCCGATGTTGGTTCACTGACAACGCGAACTGGATTAGGTACGTTCAGCGTCAAACGCTAATAGGTAAATCGTAGGGCGAGTGCGAATGTTTGAGCGAAAAACCTGGCTAAATGAACCATTGTGACCAGACTGTTTTAGGGCGGTTTCGGTTTCAGCTTATTCGAGCGGCTGTACATTTCTTTTGGCTGTAGCTGTGTTTTCTAGATAATTTAGGGACATGTGAGGTGGTCCGAGGCCGAATCCGACCGTAGATACACTTCATTTCAAAACATTCATTAAGTATATATTTGCTGGCTAAGGCCCCAAGAGCATAAGCATGGAGAAATCGAAAATGATAGAGAGAAAATCGGGTACCAGAAGATATCTCCTTTGGTTGGCCTGCATCTAATACTCGAATATGTTTATGTGTGTGTGTGTGTGTGTATGTGTATACAATGAGTAAACATGAATTGAAGATGCTTGTATGGATGGAAAAGCAAAGATCAGAATTGGGCTGATTTTGTGCCTAACATTATTAGCATGGCATGAGCGAAACAGGCTTTGATTCCTTTTCTCTACCATTTTTTCTCGACGTTCGAGGACTGTAATACCCGTAATGTTATTGGGTATAATTAGTGAATTATGAAAAGAATCGTATTAGCTACGCCTATATGTATCTGAGCACGCTACTCATTTTATTCTATGGAAGCCTACGTGGCAATCGGTTAGATCACGAGAAAAATATCCTCCACCAAAACATTTCATCTTCGTGCCCCTAACGTTTGCCAATTTCAATGTGTTTTAATGAATCGTGGCAGCGGAACACCTCACCCATATCCAGGCTGTAATTTTTCATTCCCTAGTGTAAAAAGCGAACAAATGTATATTAATAGAACATGGCCTACTCATACACAATATCCACATTATATATCCATATGACAACTAATTAAGGAGGCCTATATCACTTCTCTATCTAATATCGTCTATAACGTAACCGTCGTCGTCATCATCATCATGACTCGGACGAAATGGATCTTCAGTGGTTTCTTGCGAGTCGATCAAATCCGCCTAAAGACGAGGACTGAACTGCTGGACGCTATCACGAATCACAAAACGCAGTCTATCTAACACTGAACTTAATCATCGTCGACGAAAGCCACACAGCAATCGCACACAAGTTTCGTGCGCGAACGTCCGCCGTACAAGGCCTAGTAATCGTGAAGCAGCTGCCCTCACGCTCTCGCTTATGACAGAGTGCAGGGGCTTGCGCTCAGGCAACACACCGAAATTGCAAAAGGCAAATAAATGTATATATGGTGGCCCGACTGACTCACCGGGGAGCGCCAAGCTGGCAGCAGCAACGAAAAATTAATCTGGGTAACTGTTACAGTCGGTGTAGGACATGCGCTGAAATAACACAGAACATGGTGCGTAGGTTTCGTAGTGGAAAAAAGAACGAACGATAGCGCACAGTCAGTGTGGGTCATGGACCGCGCTTCTCGTAGCTTGTATTCTTTTATTTGTTGGAGGGTTCTTCATTGCTCCGTTTATATCAGAGTTGAAAAGAATAAGAAAATATAACCTGTAGCCGAAAATGACCTACCTAAACAATTCTGCTATCGTCTTCAGAGTCATGCTGTAGGCGTTACCAAACGTATATATATA